GCCCCCACCCCGCCCCACCGAGTAGCCGAATTTGCGAGGAGGCCGCGGATGATATAGTAGCAAAATGAGGGTTAAGCACTGCTGTTTATACCTCGCGCGCCAGGTGCATCTGACCTGCGACGGCGAGAGAATGGTGAATAAATTCGCAGCGGCATCGATTTGACGTTAAATTTTCGACGTCGCTTTATCGACGCGATGGAGGTGCTGGCGTCGGCGGCGGCCGTGGTGTGGTTTCGACCAGTAGTGGTACAGGAGGGTCCCAAGCGGTCAGCGGCAGACTCGGGCTGCCGCCGGGGCCGTGCCGCCCAGGGGCCGAGGTGGGGGAGGAGGAGGAGGAGAGGTAAAGAGAGGAGGTAGTCCGAACCAGTAAGAACTGGTTGTTGGGGTTCAATGCAGAATGATAGGAACAGTGAGGCGAGCAGACCCAAGGCCGTGCAGCCGGCGCACAAAGGTTGTTACGGACTGTTTGCTCGCGTCCAAATCGGCGGGATGTTGTTCCGTGTGCGCCGCCGGGCCGGTACCGTCCGCGACGCCAACCCTTTGTAGTTCGTCTCCCACTGTACAAGGCTTCCCGCAGACGCCACACTACTTCTCCTCAGTTGGACTGTGCCGCATGAATTTGTGTGCGCGGGGGGGGGGGGGGCTGCCTACTAGCTGCTCCGCTAGGTAGTGTAGGCAAACCCGCGCGCTCGCCTGCATGCGGTATAGTCCAAGGTGCCGGTTTGCCTGCGGGCGGCCTTGTACAGCCGGCGAGGAGTACGAAGGGTCGTGTCGCGTGTGTCGCGGACGGCACTCTACGTGCCTTTGCCCCTCCTTACTCTTGCACATGCTGTAGTAGCACTCTGAAGACCGCACGAAAACGGGGGAAGTCCATCTCTGGACCGCGATCCTGCCGTGCCGTGCTCCATGCTGGCCATAGTTTGTCTGGAGCGTAGTAACAAACGTCGCGCTGTGCATGCACGCTGTGCACCGCGGCCCACAGTATGGGCCGTGCTGCACGAGGAGCTTAACGGGGTGCTTCACGTTGAGCGTCGCGGAGGGGCGTTACACGTGGAGCGACTAAGTGGCCCGACATTAAGTGCCGTGGCTCGCGCTACGCTCATTCTAATTTCAAATGATTCAAGCACGTTTTGTTATGTATTGCCGCCGACGGGGATAG